AAAACCTAAGGGTAATGGTTTCTGCGAATACAAGGATCAAGAGACAGCATTTAGTGCGATAGAAAATTTTAATGGTTACAAAATTGGAAAAAGTACGCTATGCGTAAGCATTGCGTGTACAGAAAAGAGTCACATAGAAATGCGGAGTCTTTTACAGGGACAAATACTGAGAATCTGTATGGAGAGGCAGTTCAAGCTGACAAAGCTTCCGAAGCAATAAATAAAGTAGTACCTTCCCTTCCACCTGAAAAAATGTTTGAATTAATGCAACACATAAAGATATGTGTGGAGAATAATACTAAAGAAGTACGAAAGATGTTACTTCAGAATTCACAATTTACCTATGCTTTATTACAAGCACAGTTAGCAGTGCGAATAATGGATCCTCATACTGCTGTTAGTATGTTACGTAAAGCTAATCCAAACCTAAGCGTTTTGACATCTTCAGAAAAGCCAGTGGTACATGAGATTCCACCTTGTATCAAAGAACCATCGGCAGCAGCAAGACCTTCACCAGTAGTTGCCGTTCCTTCTGAACCTCTTTTTGAAGGTATTACTACAATTAATTAAGATATTCAGTATAATTAGGAATAAATAAATTTAGGACAAATATTTTATATTTTTAGATCAAGATGTAGATCTTCGAACATTGGATAAACAGATCGATCCTCGTTTAGCGAGATTAGATCAATCTTCAAGAGGACCACCGCAAACCCAAATAACTCCAGTTACCGTACCACCAATTAGAATTGCTACTGCTGACCCTTGGATACCTCCTATTTTTGGCAGCAACCTTCCTGCAGTAGAAGGAGTTGAGAGGTATTGTTAATTATTTCAAATAATTATTACTTTATAATTCTAATTTATTATATTAATTTAATCTTTTATAACTTTGTAGCTTTTGCCGTGATCCAAGAATTAATAAATTTGGTAGAGATCCAAGGGATCCAAGAAATCCTCTTATGTCCATTGATCCAATAATCGCTAAACCCACTCGTAAGTTTTTATATATAAATATTGCAAATCAATATATGCAAGAGATTTTATAGATAAATATCTATATACATATCTATATACATGTGATGATCTTACAGCTCTTGTATCAGTAGAACCTTCTATCTTAACAAGCACGTCCTATCATATAGTAGCAGATTTTACAGTTCCACCACTACCTGTGGTTGTTACGAATACGAATAACAGTTTACCTTCTACCACCGCTCTTACAACATCTACAAATACTCCTACTTCCAGACTTATGGTGGGAATGTCGCCAGCAGGTATTATACCAAACTGTGCGTTGAATATAGAAAAGGTATGTAAAAAGCAAAATCTCTCAATGATACACAACAAAAAATATTTCTATATGTATCAAAATATCAATTTATTTTTAGTTATAGTCAGAATTTATATCTAAGGTATTACTTTTAAACAACGAACAAATTGACATGCTTCCACCAGAACAAAGGCAAAGTACTTTACTTCTTAAAGAACAAATTGTCAAAAGCCAGCGTTAACAATATATTATATTATTCCTTATAAAATTAATATAAAGTACACTTAAGAAAAAGAAAATTTATTACGCTTACTTCGCATTAGGGAAAAAAGAAAGAAAGAAGAAAATGAAAAATATAATTTTCCCTGTCGAGATAAGATGTGTAGATATCGGCGGCTTCTGAGACACACACACACACAGTGCCGCTTAGATTGTAGACTACTACACTACTAYTACTATATTACTATAGCTAAAGGAATACATATCTATGTGAAATTTCAAACCGCTTTTTTTTAACAAATAGCTCAAATTTATACGCTAAGTTTAAAGCCATAATGAAAATTTTCGTGAACTACCACAACTATGCAAGATATATAAAGAATCAGTGGACCAATCGGAAACCACCTGACAATCCTGTTGTAAGATATGTATATCAAATAGCGAGTAGTATAACAAGTGCTCACAATCAGAGTGAGTAGTTTACTATTCATAATTTTTGAGAATGTGCTTACAGTATTATTAACACTGAAACTATACGGACAAAGTCAGTCGAATTTACTGATTCAAGTAAAACTAGTTTCTATTATTTGTATATAATTTGTTTTTAATATAAATATGTTTAATTTTAAGTATATTTTTGACAACATTTTGTTTAATCAGAATTAACGTTGAATGGATATTTAAAAAAACTAAGTTTTGATTATTTTTTATTTTTTTTAATTTCAATTAAATTTATATGTGCCAGTTAAAAATATTACTTCAAATAAAATGAGCCTCTATTATTAAAAAATTTTTTAACAGTATACGTATTAGTATTATTAATTATGTATTTTTATATCAATATTTTTAAATTAACATTAAATAAAAGTTAAAAAATATATGTAAAGAAACATTTAAATTATCTTTTAAATTTCCTTTTAAATATTTAAAGTGTTCAATTCAGTTCCTGCGTGATTGTCATTTTTCTTCGTTATGAATTTTTCTCATTGCATAAAAGCATTTTGAAAAAGTCTTTGAAGTAACACTTAACGCTTTTAAAAACTCTAAAATCGTTTGAATTGAATTTCGTTGAGTATCTTTTGCAATTTAAAATTTGTAAAATTTTTTCGGCAATCTGAGACGTTTTTTTGTATTTTACATCAAAATAACCCTTTTGAAGATGTTTTAAGAGAATATTAAGAAATCTAACCTGTTAAGATTGAATCCCTTTCAACAATATATGTAAGGATGAGGGAAAAATGAGGTATAAAGAGTGTATGTGCGTGTGTATGCAGGAACATTTTGGAAAGTATCTATAAGAATCAAGTAAATGCCTTTATTTGGTGCGTGCAGCAATTGAATGTGAATATGAATATTAATATGGATGCGCATGTAATAGCGTCGCGACTGAAAGAAAGCGTTCATCGTGTTTGAAATACTACATCATCAGATAATATTGCTTTGTGCATTATGAATGCTTCTAAGTCTGCGAATATTCTCGGTCAGGAAGTATCGAAAGATCCAGTCTCTATCTTATCCGAAATGGTCTGGAGATTTCGATAAAAAACATAGGGAGTTGCGATTACCAATAATAGGTATATAAAAGCGACGAACTCTCACACTTATAAATATGATTTTGTTAAAAGTGTGTTACATGTATATATNTAACGAGTGTCTGCGGTGGGCTCGAAACGCCTGGCGCACCTGACGCGAGCCTGGTCTCTTCGTCCTGTGTCAAATCTCTCGGAGGAGCGCCAGCCTCGGCGTCGACCGGAGTGGGGGGTGAGAAACGGCGACGCGCGGTGCATGGGGCCGCTTTGTAGTCGGCACGCTTCGGGCCGAKTCGGTTACCGAGAGAGAGAGAGAGAGAGTCAACTACCGAGTCGACAAATGCGCGCGGCGGACGGGTTTTCGGTCCGTTCCGGCGGTTGTCGGGACGTCGGTTCGGTTCGGCGTCTCAGCGCAAGCGCGGTGAGCGTCAGGCGGACAAAGACGAAGAGGATGTAACGTCTCTGGTTTAAAAGAAGACGTTGCTGTAGGGAGGGGAGGAGAGGTAAGAGGTACCGGTACAGACAAAGCGGGGACAGACAAAGAGAACAAAGGAAATGAACAAAGGAAATGAACAAAGGAAATCCTGATGCTCTATTCTCCCGACTCCAGGGATTCTGCTGGAGGCTGGAGGCCGCGAGTCCCGCGGTTTTAGCTGGTCAGCGGTGTCTTGCTGAGTCCGTTACCCGTGGCGGGTACTGCGCGGAACTGGCCGTTAACGACGGACGGCACAAAGACACCTAGCACTAAGAGCATACACAAAGACGACACTAACTAAGTTTAACACGTAAATCACAAAAGATCACGTCGGGGTCACCACTTTGGAGAGGATGAGGTCTCCAATAGAGCGAAGGTCAGTATCGTTTATCAAGAGTAAGCCGTTAGGTATGCCAGGTCAAATATCAGTCTTTATTATATCTCTCTACAGTAAGTTAATTTCTATTGTCTAATCGCTATCTCAGTCGAATTCGAACTGAACGTTTTTCGGCTAAATTCGGCCCGGGGGAATCGGGCCCCCGGCGCGGTGCCCGTCTCGGACGACCGCGGCGCTGCTGAGCACGCACCGCCACAGCTACTCCCCCACCAGTGCTGGACGCCACTAGCGTGCGGAACGTTACTCTTTTGGTGAGTTTGATGAGAGAGGGGGTGAAAGGACTGGCTGACTTCAAGATTGACCGGGGCGGTCCCTGCGGGGGGTGTTGCGCTGGAGAGCTTGAAGGGCGCGGAACTCCCGCGGATGGTGCTGAAGGGGTGCCGTCTTG